ATGTAGGTAGGGCGGAATTAAAAAAATCACAAAATCAAAGTAAAATAATAAAATAAAATAAAATAAAATAAAAGGGCATTAATAACAAAAGTAATAAAAAATAAAATTAAAATAAGTTTATAGCCAAAATAATTAAAGCCCGTACACTACATCAGATTTTAATCAGATTGGGGGTGCTATATTCTGTGACAGGCACAATCGACGTCATTGATTACTCCCGTTCACGTCACAAAAATCGCTTCATCACCAGGGAGCGCGACTCCAACGGAAAGTGTACTCATTTGTTCCTCTATTAAAGGCACAATTTCGGGGAAATATTGATAACAATGACGTAATTATTAAAGTGTTGAATCGCTGAGTGACGAATCTGTATGATACCTTACTTGGCGGGGAAATAGTTCCAGGGTTGGACATGAAATTCAGAGTGATACATTTACACAGAACGCGTTACCAACTTGAAGTTAAAAATAATGATTAAAATGGTTATTTTTACATGACACGGCGTGAATGTAAATACTTTCATGATTTCCAATTTGTCGCATAAACGATGTTTTTGTGTGTATGTTTTCGACTGTAGGTGGGGCTGTTTGTAAAAAAAACATATCTACGCAATGGCGATAGTTTTGCTACTGAAACAGAAGAAAGTGTTTTACTGTCTGATGTCCAAAGTGCTATTTTTAGTAAAATGAAAATTCGGAAAAAAAAATATTATGTTTTGGTATGTTTTGGTATTTAATTGTTGCTTTCGTCACAGGTCGTTGCGATAGACTTCTGCGGTAGGTACATTGACACTGCATTAAAGTTACAAAACGTTGGATCACTGATGTATGAAATACCACTGTCATGTAACGACGAGACTGTAACATCTAGAAAACGCCAACATGCAATGATAGCTGGGGATATTGACCGATCGAAAGTGGTATTCAAACAGGTACATCTTAACGTTTTACAGAATAATGTTGTTGTACACGTTTACTAGCATACGTTGATTTCTTTGTCTAAAGCGCGTTTGTCGTCGCGCAGCGTGTGTTCGAATGTCATGTAAATAAACAATGTATTTTACACGCGTTGTTTACGTCGCTATGAGTCCCATATCGAACAGGACGCGGCACGACGACTGTCACCCTTTGAGGGCTTTATGCCTGTGTGTCATGACACCGCCAATGCAGTGGTTAATTTGTGTACTAAGGTGTACACGTGTTTATTCTGCACCACAGGTCGTCGAATGCTGCAATGAACGCAAAATGCGCAATATATCACCATTCTTGGCAATAATAATTCGCATTATAATATATATCTGTCACCGTTAAATCGTGCCGCAATTTTGCGGCATTGCACTGGGTGTTTGCACCCTACCATATTAGAAAATGCGAATCCTAAATATGGAACGATTTGCAATCCCCAGTTTAACCGGACCCCACGCAAAGAAGTTCGCTAAATCTGTTTTAAACACTTATGAATTTCCGCATTTCCACGATTTATCCCTGGAAGAAAAAGACTCGATTCAGTCAGATATATAAGCCAGTTTATTCAATTTCGGGGAGGGATAACAGTCTTCCATTTACTAAATATAGAATTGGCGTAACCATTGAACCATTGAGTGTGTAACTGCTGTTCAGGCGTGACTTGGAGGTAATTCAAGATGGCGCCAAGCGCGATTCGTGTGTCGTCGCTGATAAAAATGATCCGAAATGTTAATTATTATAATCTGTTGCTAAAAAATGACTGCCTCATCATTGAAGTATCTATCATTCTGTAGATACTTTATCACGAATGAAACAAACATAAAAAATGACGCCGCCCATTGACCTCCGCCCTATTCCTAGGGCATATAGATTTCGTTCATACTCATCTATATATACACGTATTATCTATAAATCTCGCGTTGCGAATGAACTTCGGCCGCTTCCGCCACGCTTGCTATAATAAACCACTTTTATAGTTTCTTCATTGGGAATGGTGTTATTTCTAATTCATAGAATAGCGCCACCATGTGGCCAATAACATCGTTTTTGTGTTTTTTATAATTCAAATTTTACGTACGCGTCTCCCATCTTGTTACTGCTCGTTGACTAACTGTTACAGAGTGCTTTTAAATAAGTATGCTTTTAAATAAGAATAAAATAAACGGAACGCAATTTGTTTCGACATTATATATCGATATTTGAATCGCATTTCCCGCCAAAGACAGTAAAATCAAAGATCGTCAATAAATACGTAACTGATAACAATCATCTCAATACATCTGTTCAGATGACTTGGATTCCCAATGAATTATATGGATTTGATTTGACTATCCAAGACATGATAGACAGAGTGTCTAACGTAAAAGGTTGGTATATTTATATAAACATCAATACTCAATGCTATTATACTATAAATCTTTACATATTTTTTTCTGTTGAATGAAAATTTCTAGAACGTCTTCGTTATGTGTACGTCAATTTATGATATTAATATAAAATAGAACGTAGATTTTCCAGTTTGTCAATCTCGTAAAATTTGTCGCATTCAAAAACAAACGTAGTATGCATAATCTATCTCGAAACACATATTTAGAAAACGTCGCTGGTGGGTGCGGTGGGTGGGTTTAAATTAAAGTTCAGTTTAATAAAATGTTTGTCATCATTCAAACACACATAGTTTTGATTTTCCCCCCAAATAGTACTCCTAATAGATAAGTGTTTTTACAGGGGGACAAACTCCCAGTGAGAGGTTGGCTAACTTTTTGTAGTCAATTCCCTATACTGCTCCGCACTCTGACTGCCCACTAAAAATAAAACACGGTGCAAGTGGTTTAATTATATTACATTTAACAGTTACGTGTATGTGTTTATGTTGAAAACAAAACAGTAATAAGAAAGCGAATCCCAAAGTTATATTCAGTCGTATAACTAACTTTACATATACTCACATTTGAACTATTTTACTTGGACCCAACACATTGTCTGTGTCTGCGATATGTATTAATCTAATATTCATTTCACGTTAATCAAGTCGTTTCCTGAAATATTTGCCGGTGTTTGCCGTTCGCTCATCATAATACTTGTATCTCTTTGTGTGATACATTGAATATGTTCATTTCAGCGTGGTTGGTACGTCTCGGGGAAATAACACTATCAACAGGTGTGGTTGTCATAGTTTCCAGCACCGGATGGGACAAAGATACAATTAAACCCATTGTTGGTCACAGGTAATGGAAACAGATCTAGAGTTAATCTTACAAAAAAATGTTATTAAACAAACAATATCTATTTGCACTCTCCGAGCACAATAAACAATCACTTTGATCAAGTAAAGTTTTGAGATTCAAGTTCGGAATGCGTGGGTCTGCTTACAATTCCACTACAAAGTAACGCTGTTGGATAAGGAACAGGACAATGCTCGCACGTTGTAAGATCGTGTAACTCTGTGTATGTTACAAAAATGGCTTTCGTGAAGTATCATAAATGTGTTCGATGTATAATAGCGTGTACAGTGATGCTAATTTTTTAGTTACTGAACTACGGACAACATACGTCAACTTCGACTTAAACATAGAGTTACAATTCAAGTGTAGTTTTGCAAAAGTAGGCGTGGTTTCTAAAATATGAGCATGGTCATGTTTGTTACTCGATGTTCTCGAAACTCGATGTCCGTATTAAACTCGAACAATTCAGCATCTTACGTGTAAACTGGCAAATAACGATCGATGAGCGCGCACACACTGCGCCCTCTGACGTCATTTATCTGTAACATATATTCATTACACATTATTTGTTTTCTAGGCTTCGCTACCTTGGCTGCGATGCTTTTACATTTGTCACCCCAACTGGTGAGAAAAACGAAGCGGTGGTCACTTTATGGAAAAGAACATAATATAATTGTCAAATCATCTCATCGCCTCCTGTTCGATAAGTGGCGCTGCGTGACGTCTGTGGCGCTATGATGACGGTTGTGGTGTTGTGTGACATCTGCGACGTTAAAGTAAATGAACAGTTGAATCAAATAGTTGACTTGGTGCGACTGTAAAAAATTGAGGTAAAAAAATAAATAAAGTAGTGACTTTTGGGAGTTTGACAATTAAAAAACAAATTATTAGTGACGTAGAGTGTACTATATATGTTGGTATGGTGCTGCACCATGATTTAAATTGGAAGCAACATATATATCGGTCATGTCGTGAACAAAATAAGTATAACACTAGGTATCGTATATAAGTATAAAACATTTTTTTCAAGATCATTATTAATATTATTCTTTGTATGCTTCATTATATACAGTTTTAGGTGATTCTATATCACACTCTAGAACTATGTAATTCTTTTGTTTCTTCAAAAACTCGGTGGCCATTTTCTCTTAGGCTCTTTCAGTGCAATAAGTCGTGTTTAGTGGTAAGTTATATCGAGTTAAATCGAGGTGACTGGTGAAGGGGTAATAAATAACGAAGATTAAACTCAAGCTGTAAAATGAAGAGCTGAACAGTCATCAAAAATGATCGAAACTTGTGTCAAAGAAACATATATTTTGCCGCTGTGCTATATCGTTTTTGTTGGTAAAAATAGAATAAAAAAGACTGAAATAATTTAAAATGAAACATCTTTTTAAATTGGCTGCTTCAAAAAATTCAGAAGCCATAGCACGATATATTACAGCGTATGCGAGGGCATCTGGTGAGGAGTGTATGTCGTGTGTACAATAATATCGAGTCTACACAGTTTCCCGACGTAAAACCCAATGACGTTACATGTGAAGCACTACATAATGCCACATAAAAATTAGTCGGTTGATGTGAGTTTATTGAGTAAGAATACCGAATGATAGAAATAGACTCTCAAAATCAAATATTGACGATGACCAGCTCACTGCACACTGTCATGCCAATCGTAACAACTGTGGGTGAACTGGCCAACACTATCGTGTCCAGATATGTTTTTTTTTTTTTTTTTTTAAATTACCACTTCTGTCCCCAGTGAGTATCCATCCTTCCGCTCTTGAAATTGATGTAGAATTCAGTAATGTCAGCATTTAAAGGAATAATCGTTGTACCATTGCCTTCGGGGATCTACTGTTTTTTTTAAAGGTTTTTTGTATTGCAATTAATTTCTTCATATACTGATCGCTTCGAATCAAACTGGTCATTGTACCTGTAATGCACGTTAGTTCCCATGATATAAATGATATTTCGGACGAGAAAAATATGGGTTTCTGTGATGAAACAGTTTTCAAGAAATTGCTTTACAAATTGTAGAAATGTATTCTCTCAAACTCCGTATGAATGTGACAAACCTATAAGGGGATAAACACAAACAATCGATTTTAATGGCTTGGCGTTTTGTTATAATTGTCAAAAACTTGATTTCCAAATTTATTAATTCCAATATAATCAGGCTTAGAAAAAAACAGGAAAAACAGTTACACCTTATGTCACGATGACCAGACTGCGAGTCTTGAAAAAAATATCATTTTATTTATTTAAATGACTCGAGGAAGGACTATACCCTAAGATGTTATAGATCGGAACGCTGTGAAGATTTTTCTTTTATAAAAACGTTCAGAAAGCAATGGCAAAATGTTATCTAATTTATATAGAGGGAGGGCAAGTGGCGATAGCTTGTATAGGTTACAGGAAATAAAAACGGCATTTTACGGTTTTACAGGAAATAAAATGAAAGTTTACAGCAAAAAATATGTTTTTATAATTTACTGATAGAGCAAATTCCTAATTACATGTTACATTTTTATAATATTGTTGATAATTTGTATTTAAGAATCAAAATTGGAAATTGCGTATGCTTTATACGCTTATAAAAAATAAGATCTTTGTACAAGTTACGAACGAATAGAATGGCTGATTTTACATCTTGCCCATGTTACGTTTACGTTTTTTATTTATTTAAATTACATTTTTACGAAAATAAAAACATTTGATTACAGCTTACAAAAATACTCTCTTGCCGACCCTCTATAAATGCTTGTATAGTGCTATACCAAGTGCAGTAAGGATGCCAATGAAGTCTAGTTAGCGTAAATATAGAAAAATACAGCCGAGGACAGAATAGTGTGGCTCTTTATTTTACGTGCCAATAGTAAGACACGCGTCTCGCACACGCCGCCTACATTCATTAGACACGTAATTCTGTCCATTGTTGTATCGCACCGACGTATATCGCGAGTGAGAGTACAGTATTTCAATCTTTAAAACTCGCAGTGTATAAGAATACAATTAGCAATATTCGAGGGAAGTAATATTATCGCCTTATCCTGTCGACCACTGCCCTATAATTGATCTTGTTTCTTCGATCTTATCAATCATCTTCTCTAGCCAACTGGGTCAATGTCAGCTTAATTGGTGCCCCTTCACTACTATAATCATGTTCACCACCGCCTAAACCATCTATATAAATATATATTGAGGTAATTCTTATACTTTTAAAGACATTTAGTCCTGTCAACAATTCTGCACCCAACATACGGGAAATGGGTACTATATATGTCCCTATTTCCAAATGAAATATGCTATTACAGTGCTAGAACATTTAACTACGCAATGCGTGAATGTGCGTGTGTGTGTGTGTGTGTGCGTGCGTTGCCCTTTCAGAATTAGCCTGACAAAGTCGCGTGAGTTGCGCCCACCGCGGTGCTCCAAACCCAACACAATCCTGACAGTACGATGTAGTTGTTCACAGCATAGTTTATTTGTTTGTTGACATAATGTGTGATAAGGTGCTAGATAATTTTCGCCCATATCGGTCTGTGATTTTTGCCGACAAAAGCAAACACGGATTTGATTGACGGTGTTACCATAACCACCAAAATGAATATTCATTGAACCTCGTTGCAAGAAGGCGCGAATTCGCAGTATTGATCTTTCCGACGAGAGATACACTATTTTGTCTGATGCTGTTCGGTCGGCGAGGGCGCCACTCACGCCTATATGTCAGCCTATTTCAGAATGTATAGTCAATATTCTCATGAAATTGTGCATGCTGATATTGTGGCAGGTGTTTTCTATACTCAAGATTTGTACAATAATGAACTTATGAATATTCATGATCTAACTCGTAGAGTATCTTCAATGTCATTACCGACATCGTTTTTCAGATAGTTCAATGGGCAGCGTCTGTTAGATTGTCGTTGTGTGAGCTCCGAGTTTGAAAATTAGTACTTCATTTTTTTCAGTGTTTCGTTATTGATGTTACGTGTTCTTATATAGCTAGAAAACTTCATGATAATAAACGTCTAGTACGTGTTTAAGAAAGTTTTAGAGCACTTGACAGTCCAAAGAGTTTTGGTTTTAAACAGAAGATTTAGTACCGATAAAGTTTGGCATTGCAGCGTTGTGATTGGTCGAGAAGTACTAGATGAGTTTAAATTATAGTTCAATAAAAAAAGTCGTAGAACGATCACTTTACAGTTAAGAGTATTTTAAATAGCAGCATTATAGAGAGCAAAGAGGGACAAAGATCGTCTCTGTGCCACGTTTCTATGATGTTAATGCAGATTTCACAGTTGATTACTGACTGGGTATTTTTTTACTGGCGGGCATTCGATCTAAAACATATATACCGTCGTTTGGCAACGTCGTATTCAGTTAATGTCAATGTAATTACACGGCTATTTACAAAAATATGATTGACGTATTCGCAGAACATGCCGCACATGACGGAAAACAGCTTAAAATTTAACCTCGCTGTTATTTATCTCTCCCTCCCCCTGGAAGTGAATTGCAGTTGGTATTCCCCGATTTTAAGCGACATCATTTCTGTGCTTCGCAAATCAAATCAATCGCATGTGTTTTGTCTTATTATTGCACTGCGGTAAATTAAAAAATAAAATAATATTAGAAACAGTGATAAATCAAAACAGTGAAAAAATGCTCACCGGGCACGTCTTCCGGTGGGAAATAATTGTGTATTTCATTTAATATTGTGTTGACAATTAGACTCAGGTGATTATATATGAATTGAACGATATAATGTAAATATTTTTTCTTGATATTGATATGCACTGTATGAATGTTTATTATTATATATTACGTGCTTTTCCCGTCGCCTGGTGCACCTTGCGCCTTTCTTAGAGCGGCGAATTATTCGTAATCCGCGGTGACGTCATTTAGTTGCGGTTGTGTTTTTTGAATAGTGCTTTGCCTAATACACTATATAAATGAGTGTCGTTACTTTACATACACACTCTGATTATTCTGAACTTGGCTTACATATTTACGACTCAGAATGGAGCAATTCTTCAATTCTCCTAATTATTTAATGAGGTCGGGAGAATATTGTTGCTATTCAATGATCAAAGCAGTGTCAGTGTCTGTCATACCGAGTCTATGAAGAACCTGATTCGGACGCAAGGTACTCGATTATGAATCGTGGTGAGCGTACTATTAATAATAGGTAGACGTTATGAGCAACGGCGCGCTCTTCTTTTTTAGCGTGTAATAAAATGATAAAACAAAAATGTTTCAAAAGGCGGTGGTTGTCGCACCACGCATGTGCGTGATATGGGTCTCGTATAAACAAAAGATGGCGACTTTTACTGTTGCGCAGACCAACGAGTACCATCTGAGACGGTACCAAGCCTCAACTGGGTAATTAGTCCCCGTTCGGACGCAGTCCGAAAACGGGGACTTATGTTTTGCCCTGTGTGCGTCCGTGCGTCCGTGCGTCCGTGCGTCCGTGATCACCTGTATCTTGAACATGCATGGACCGATTAAGTTCAAACTTCACTCATACATCACACC